CACAATGTGACATTGTGTGTTGAACAGCATTCGGTTACGACAAGCACATGTATACGGAGGGGCTGAATAATTTACGAGTGCACTAACTTTGGCTCGGCGGGGCCCGGTCGGTACAGATGCGAAGAGTACATATATCAAACCGGCCCGAAGGTTACAACTTCAATAAAACTTGAACGGAACTTATTCAAACGCGGCGGCCGATGAAAGCTGTTTTTAACTTGTACCCGCGAGGGATCACCCATACAAATAAAGAGTTAGTCCCGATATGAAAGCGGATTTCTTTTTCTGAAATAACTTTTAGAAAACATTCTGTGCTGGCTGTTTGCCATTTTAAGTAAATTTTCTGTTTTTTTTTCTTTGGTTCGTTCGTTGATAGTTTATGTATGGCAGTCGGCCAGCCGGATGGGTTGTTGATTAAATTATATTTAAGCACTTTGATTTTTCATATCTTGAATTAATACAAGGCTATTTCTTTTTTCTTTTGCGATATCTTATTAAATATTATAAATGCGAAAGTTTGTGTGTTTGTGTATTATGTTTGTAACTCAAACATGTCAAAACAGTTGTTGAAGGAATCGGGATGAAATTTAGAATAGAGATAGGTTATGGACATATAACACATAGGATTTTTATCTTACAGTACTACGGGAAAGCCGCTACCAAAAGCCAGTATTGTATAAGTTTTTGTGAAATAATTCACTCATCATATACGTCGTGGTGAACGGTATGTACCAATGTGACTTTTTCCAAATTATAATAATGTTCTTTCTAAGCTTATTTATAAGCCACTGACGAACGGTGAAGGAAAAACATCGTGAGGAAAACTAGGCTTATAATTGTAATTATATGTTTGAAATCGCCAACCCGCATAAAGCAAGAGTAGTGATTAACCCTTTGAGTAACGTCATTATAGAGACAATTAAAGAACAATAGGTTGCGGTCACCGGTGTCCTCGCGGTGTTTGACAGTTTAATGCACCTTCTGTGAGAAGAGGCCTCTGGACAACAGTGACCACTTGTGGGCTGTTGTCCAGAGGTGATGTGATACGCAAAAAGTTGTTTGTCACATCCAATGTATAAGATATCCCCATCATTCAGTAGTCCACAGGGAGATGACTACAGCGAAGTACATAAAATCTTTGGAAACAAACTCCCGTAGGACAGCAGTTACATATTTTGGGTTACTATAACTGGGACAAATAAATCTTGATATTCAATAACTTACTTTCACCCTACGTTATGTAAGAAATAGATTATGGATACGTCATAATAATATTTATATTTCTGTTGTAGGTTGTTACTGAAATTTTGTAAGTGTAAACTAAAAGGTTTCGTATTCGATTCTCAGATGATAAATTGGATTACTCTTTTTGTGTGGTTTTTTATAAGTTAATATAATAACTCAGATTGTAATCAGTACATTCACATTACTTAAACGGTAGTCAGTATACGACTTTAAAGTTATCCAAATTTTATATAGCTGTTAATAGGCCTATTACTACATCCCTGCTTACCACAGTAAAATTGATACAACGTCTAATAACAATACAGCCATTATCATAAACGTCGAAATACCGATACACAAAATGAGCTACACACAACGGAAATCTGTGTTTTTGCCAACAACCGGCGCGGGTGAGGCTCGACTCTCGTTGGCACGGCACAAAACACACATTTGCATAAAACTCGAATTGGCTTCAACGATGTGTATGCCACTATTGTAATGCAACTTTTAAACTAACAGAGCTCAGCATTACACTCCGCAACTTCCTCTGCGATACAAAAGATAACTTTTTAAGGCTTGTCTCCTGGTGCAGGGTTGAGATGGAGATTCCTGGAGGTTTGTGTGTGGTGTTGTGATTGATTTATTGACTTATGGGTTCGTTTTCTATTGTAATATTTGTGTAGAATGTTTGATTTTTCTTATAGAAAACGTTGCATTACTCTACATATACGTTTAAATTCATCAACACATCGCATCCAGACTGAGAACAGCAATTTGGATCATACAAACATGTTTTTGGTAAGGAATTCGAACCCGCACCATATTGTTGCAACACTTGAAACATCTTCAGATGATTTTTAAATAGTTTTACGGTTGGATGTTTCATCTGTTCTCCTGTACCTGTATCTGTAGCGCGCTAGAATATTCTTGTCTACTTTTCTAATAATACGAACTTTCACGTTAACACTTCAACAATAAAATCAATTTTCGTTCAAATAGGACACGATTCTTCCGATATTTGTACATATGTTAGTCGATTTGTAACATAAAGCTCGAGCTCGAGCCGCGGCGTCAAATCTTGTCACACGCTCAATAAAGAGCAAATAAACTTGAGTTTCGAGCACATTTGAGCTCACACTCATGTTGAAGGAACCTCTCAACTCGAGCCTCTCGACGGCTCTTTAGCAAACTATGTAAACAATACCTTCTTGTGATTTATGTTACACAGATTGGGCCATTCTTTTATTTTTACTGGCCCTCTTAGAGTCCAAATGGATCCAAAATAAATAACGTACAAAATAACTATCGCATTTTTTTTTTCGAATCTTGCAGATGGATCACCTGATGGTAAGCAATCGGGGTCGCCCATGGACAACTGGAACACCAGAGGCGTTACAAGTGCGTTACCGGCCTTTTGGGGATTAGGACTTTGAGGATTGTTGGATTCAAGGATTGGGGAAGGGCAAAGGGGTAATTGGGCTTCCAGTAAACTCCCTCACACGACGAAACACAACGCAAGCGTTGGTTCACGTTTTGTTGAATCATTCCAAGGAGCCATCGTATTTTCGAATAATCTAGTTCTTAACTAACTTACGTGTACTGTTTTAGAAGAAGTCACATCAAACAAGAAATTGGATTATTTGTGGACTCGATAAATATCACAATATTTTTGTTGTTAGGTACAAGTGTAGCAAACATATGACAGTAAGGAATGTGCCCCCGAAAACTGTGTAAACAAGTAAGCGACAGATGGTTGCCGCACGCGAGAATAGGCTCGACGTCGACGCTCGTACGTGTACTTAGAAGCGAAATAAATACGCCATGTTTGTGACGAAAACGGAAAACAAACGAAATATCCTATTTAATGTTTGTCTCTGGAGGAAACCTTTCTTTGGATACTATTTATAAAAACACCCCGGTTTTGATGATAAAAGAATGTGTTATTTAGTTTAATTTGATGTTGTAGGTACTAATTGGTACAAGTATCAAGTGCATCTATAATCCCATTAATTAGTATTAAAACACCTCCATTAAACTCGATAATTATACAAATTTTAATGAACTCAATCTGAGAGTCTATCAACACCCGCCGACGGCAACTTTTCCAATAAACTCAACCTCTATCCGGAAAATCAAGTAATTTATTTTACAATCTTAATCTCCACGTTATCGCGTGGAAAAATAATTTATATTTGACTCTTGTACAATAAAATATACGTGACTACCAACTTGGGAAAAAGAACGTCTGGAGATAACAAAAGGGAAAGTATTATAAATTTTATTTTCCACTTTTATCAGCATTATAGCGAGTACCTAATCTAAAGGTAAAAGACATTGTGATGGAACTCGATTAAATTAAGTTACTACAGCGAAAAGGAGAGCAATTTCGATTCTCATAGAATTCAAATGAGCTTTTTATTCAAACACAAGACTGGAGGACACTAAAACAGATGGTTTTACTCCATTGCATCGGGCATACCTTCTGCTTATGTTTCAAAACTGATATTGCTTACTTTAGGTACACGTACCTATGACTTTCGGTTGTATTTTTCATTTTGCTGACAAAATTACTTAACAGTTTCACAACCATTAATCAAGTTAAAATGGGATTAAATTACCATGCTATCTACCAGCTAAAGACAATGAGGGATCTGTGATTAATAATTTGAAATCCTTTTAAAAACTTTATAAATAAAATAACCTCAAATCTACGAAAGTGTAATGCATTTACCACTATTTTGCACAGCAAGCCTTTTATCGTCCGGTAGCTTATTGGGATTGCATATGGTATCGGGATATATGGGAATGCGTATTTGTCGATTTAAAATCGACCACGAAAAATTGCAGAGGCTCAAGCAGCTTACCTACGTGTTCTGCCTTTGTAATTTTAATGAGGCTGTAAAAAAGGTTCAATGTTAACCACACAGCTTGTAAGGATTGTGTTAATAAATAAAATAATCGTTAAGTTAATATCATTTAATCAAATAATACTCCTAATAGATCTTACAAGAAAGCCAGGCGATATACATTTCATAATCATGGAATAGTTTTCATCTTACAGTACGCAATGCAATATAAACACTAGAATATAGTTTATTAAAGCTATAGACGTCTTACAGCGATAGATATTGTTACATTAGAGTATCTAGTACCGCCAAATGAGACCTTAATTAGTAAATATAATTTGATATGATTATGTAGGTAGCTAAATTCATTCGTTAATTGATTTCAATGCTAATTAACTAGAACTTTCTAAACAATGATACAAACATTGATTAAAATAACAACTTATAGCGTATTTTTATACCTAAGAAGATATGTAACATATGGCAAAATAATTCATAAACATTTTTGGACTGATCAAATGATATGTTATTCAGAAATTTTATTAAATAAATTTTAAGTAAATTCGACTTACCTACTTAATTATAGCTATATATAAATTTTCCTACTTTTAGTATACATTTTACTACAACAAATCCGATGGTATGATTCGAACAATCTATCTGAAAATATCTATTAATTATCTAATTAGTTAGAGGCCTTCATAAAATTATAGGTAACCTTTAACCAACAGAACTCACTTGTTACATTATACTACGTCTAACGTCGCACTAATTTAAGACATTTGAATATATTACACTTAAAATATTTAGCTCCATTCATCATAAGCAGGATGTAAAGACTGTACAAGAGATATATACAAACTTACATACTAATATAATATGTATATGTCTACGTAGCTGCTTTGAATGCCTACCGGAGTGGAATTAGCTTCAATATTGTGTCCAGCTTTTGGCTGCAACAGAAAATGAAAACCTTGATAACATGTTGCGGGTGGGGTGGGAATGAGAGCGGGTAAAGTGGAGCGGGGAAGGGAGCGGCTTGCACTAAAATTAATGTAATAGTGGTACATAATTGTGTGTGAATATTGTTATAAATACTAACAAGGTGACTATTATGTTAATACCCATGTAACGTTTTTCATCAAAATATTTGCTAACGGTCGTTTCGGGATAATTAATCATAGCGTAAAGTAGTTTCATAGAAAATACTTTTAGTTAGCACTATGATAACAATTTTATAATTAACTAATTTTAACCTAAAGGATTTTAATAGTTATTTCGTTAATACAATGTGATCCAAATTGTGTAATTTAAGTTCAAGCGAGATCAGTCACATCTCATTCCGATGTGTTAGATTTGTTAAAAGCTTAAGCGATTTGGTAATCCGCTGTAAGTGTAGCCACAACCTTCATATTTGAACACGAAATGTAACTGCGCCAATTACGTAATTTGCAATCGTGATAACTATGGTATTATCGTTATCGTTACATAGGTTACTGTTACTAACACCAGTTGCTCGTTGATTGTACAGATAACTTATGCCTACGTGTAATGGCTTTAAGCTTCAATGAAATGTAGGCAGTATTATCTTTTTTCGATTGGAACATGTTGTTAGTGTTTTTGATTATGGCAGTAAGGTTTATTGTTGTTTGCACATTGTTACACAATGAATATGTTCATACGGGTTGAGGGACTCGGGTATTATACTAATGTATAATGATTCAGCAAAATTTTAAATGAATGAAATATTTTACTGTTCTTAAAAATTAATCAAAAAGAAAGGCTTTTCTGAAAATAATTCCATTTTTTTGAGATGTAACCGGAGATAGAATGCGTGTATTTAAAAATCGAGTGATGATTAGAATTACCTTTATAATGCATATCTCGATGCATGCTTGGACAAGTTTTCCCAGGGTACTGAAAACATAAAAAGATGTTAAAAAAATGTTATTTAAATACTAAAACTAACACAAGTTATTAATACTACATGATTACAACAAGCTAACCATTTTACAGAGACATACACAATGCAGCGACTAAGTCTATCGCTTAGGTACCCAGCTTAGAACACAATATGAATTATTAAACGGGTCTCCAGAGAATTCTGTGCTTAATTTGATTTTCTGTAAGGTGTAATTTACCTTGCTGAGATCGAAGTCAATGTTGGTCCTTACGGCTCGGTGGTGGAGAGGCTGGGGCGGCCTAAAGTTGTTGCCGAGGGGAGCCTTCGGGTGCCTGGCGTCGCCTTGCATCAGCCGCCTCAAGCCGTGTAACTATAGTCATGAAATTCAATTATGTTGACACTAAAGTTCTTGAAAGTAAAATGACTAACCCTGTTTTGGAATTTATGAACCTCTGCCCAAATATAATACAGAGAGAACGGTTCGTTTCTTTTGAACATTTAGGTTATGTTTAGTGGGGAACATTTTCTACTGCGACTCTTATTATGTGTATATGTGTAAGCGAAGTCAACTGTATATAATAAGACTTTTTGTTGGGCATAATTACTAATTGACGTAAAATGTAATTTGGAGAGCCACCAGTTAACAAAATATTTTAGATAAAAGTGAACAAAGAAACTAACGTTAACAAAGGTGCAAGACTTGCAATTTTGAAACTGCAATGCATGTTGCTGTATAACCTAAGTGTTTAGGTGGAGAGCTATTTCAAGTAAATTGAAATTTCTTCCTTTTATAACGTTGGGTGACTACTGGAGTACATATAGGTGTGTTGCCACGGTCGGATTAACTGGCTCCGAGCACGCGACCACGGCTATCTGATTCGCATCGTTGTTTACGCTGTATTAAACAATTTGATTCTGATTATAGACTCCGCCTAAACTTTGATTTTACCAACTGTAATTTCGTTTGTAATGTGAAGGTTACGGTTGGCTTTAGGTAGCTTGTGTGAACTTTGTTAGTATTTCGAATTAATTATTTTGTTAAATAGATCTTTGTTATATTTTGTGAGTGTTCATAAAGATTTACACAGTGGATAGGTAGGAAATAATAAATCAGGAAATGACTCTGCCTGTACAGAATACGTGCAGTAATGGTCTCTCGGAGATTCCCTTTATGGGCTATTTGGTAAATAGGTGTATGACTTCTATTACGGACACCCTCAAGAGCTTATTCTCTCAGTGAACCCCACATGTATTATTAGTGTTATTTTGGTTTTTATGGCTCCCGAGACCATAAAGGTGGGGATTTTTATTAGCATAAAACTAAGCACGTTAGTGGCATTGTAAATTGCACTTCAAGCAGCGACCACATGGCGTTCGCTCAACTCCCCGCGAGATTGCAAGCAGTTTCCACTAGCACTTAATTTTCCGACCAACACAAACGGAAAACATAAACAATGATTTATAATAACAGCCGCACAACGCGGCACTTTCAGTTTACTTTTAACACGTACATAATTCACCGCGGAGTCTTTGTCTAAAGGCGAGGGACGTGAGTTGTTTATTGTAGCGTGGGCACAAATGAAAATGTTATTACGCTGCCCCACGCTTGAATACACTGATACATGTCTTCGACTGGATGCGGCCGCAACCGCCGGACAACTCCCGCTATAGTTAGCAAATTAACAATCCGTGAAATATGAACTGAGCGGGCTGTAAGACATGGCTGCTTGCGTTTGCAACAGACTACTTCAGTGTTCAACAGACTACTTCTAAAGATAAAAAAATACAAATACTAATCGGTTAGAGTTAAAACCTACTCTGTTCCAATAACTGTACCTACATCTGTAATCTAACAATATCCCTAGAGAGGCGTATAATTCCTACGACGATCTTGAACAGATGCAGTTACCGGAGTACATATTGATTGTTACTACTGACCCAATGACAGACATGTCTTATGACATGTCAATGTACGTACAGAACTGTACTCAGCTTCGTTGAGCAATGTTGAGCACTTTTCATCATATATCAGCTATGTATGGCAATTGAAGATCGTGAGAGATAACAATATCTCTACTTTAACAAAACATGGTTTTATAGTAAGTAGGACTATGATAATTTGCTTGATTGCAGGTCATAAACGACAGATAAATCTGTATTATGTTTAGTATGTATATTTCAGTAATCATGTTTTGGTATTAGTTTCACACGGTTTTACACTGAACCTGAAGCGTGACTGTACAAAGTATATGAGTAGAGAACTAACTTTACTCTTAACTAGCTGTTGCCCGCGACTTCGTCCGCGTAGAATATGATTCCTGTTTTGACCCATGAGAGCATTTAAATCTCGATTAATCAGGACAAAAAGTCTATCTATAAAAAATTATCTTACCACCTAAGTCAGCCCATACCCTGCCCATAGGGGGTGAGTCTATTGCCATATACCGAACACAATTCCAGACACCGTGCTAGAACTGAGTTTTTTTTTTAAAAACCCAATAATACTTACTTCCCCGACCCGGAAATCGCATTGCCTCATTGACCGAGTGGTCTTAAGTGCGACTGCCGGGCAAGAGGTTACGGGTTCGATAATACTAGTGTGGTATAAAAACATTTATAACTTAGAACAAGTATACCTGTTGTTTAGTGATATAGATGGGTTTATTGACAATGATCCAGGTGACGGTCTCGTAGCAAGCGGGGGCCGTGGTGGAGCCGTCGTATGTCATGTAGTAGTCAGTGTCAGGCAGCAGGCCACGAACCGAGAGCTTGTTCACTGGCATCTCTGCACCTTTATGAATATAAATAAATATTTAAAACGAAAATAATGTAAAAATAATGAAATTATGAAACACAAAGCTTAGATTTAGTAGTGAATCAGATTCGGTTGTATTACCGTATTTAACATGGAACGTTTGTTATCTACTTTTCTTTCTAGAACACTAGGTACTTGTATACGCTTTTTTTAAGGGGGAAAATCATCGAATGACTTTTCCCGCCTGGGTGAGGCGAGAGGGAGTGTCAGACTCTTACTGACTAAAAACCACCCCGTTCCTACTCGTGCCCATCGACCCGACGCCCCGGTAACCCGTTAAGTCCTCCGCGACTCCGTATCGACATCAGCCCTATTGAGCGCCATCCGTGGTGGTCTGATAGCATTTTGAGGCGCTTGCGAAACGTGACTTGTATACGCTAGTACGTAAATTAATTAAATAATAATATATTCAAACTTACCTCCGTATTTGATATTTTCTAATTCTTCTGTTAACACTCTAAGTTCTGGATTTGATAAATCTCCGAGCTGCAAGAAGATGTGTTGATTACTAACAAATATTCAACGAACGTGTAGTGAAAAACGTTACAATTAATTTACTAATGTTATAAATGTAGCGCGTAGAAGTACATATATTAACAATATCATTATTAAAATTTAAAACTAAACATTGCAAAATGCATTATTAAAATAGAATATTACAGCTAACCGACTATTACCAGAGAACGACAAATAAAAAGGCGCGCCGGAGACATGGCTAATTGTTTGTCATGTGTGAAATAGCTTGCTTTAGCAAAGTTTCAGTTAACGGCGACCACAAGCGAAATATGAACGTGTCGGTAAACACGTTCCCCCTTGGGACAACATCGGATGGGATGTGCTAACACAGACGCTGGCCTTCATTAAGGAACACCATAAAACGATCGAAAATAACCTCTCCGAAAGATGACGGTGTAAGGAAATCAGACAAACATTTGTTTTCTTAGGTTGTGTTGGTTGGGGTAACTTGGGCCGTGTGTGTAAATTTGGGTTTAGAGTTTTGTTTAAAATGTAGGTAAATGACGTGGTTTTGCTCCAATCGATACAGGACTGATGTTGTCTATCTTTCTTTAACTAAGTATATGGCATTTTGAGCTAAACTTTTTACTTCTAGAGTAGTCAACAATTTAGGTAATCACAAATAGGTACAAGTCTCAAACAGCAATCAATTTCTAACAAAATAATCTATGAACAAATGCAGTACCTACACGAAACTGTCACCTAGAAAACTAATATTGATGACGTAGATAATATTAAATGTCGGCAATTAATTGGAAATACAGGGTGTTTGCTGGCCTCGTGGTGACGGCTGACGGTCCAACCCAGACAGTTACTTAATTTGAACTAATAGCTTTACTGGCTAATCCAGTGGCTCGCAGAAAAATCCAATTTCCTTAATTAACTGCGATCAGTTCGCTATGAGGTGCGGCCGGTAACACTTCGATGGGAACAATTACGGCTAAGTACCTGAATAAACACCTACATTACGTGTTGTTAGGAAACAATTTTCGCTGATATTATAGCTGTGAGTTATGGCGTTTTAATACTAGGGAGGTTTTTGGTAACGCATGCAAAATTTGTAAGGGTTAAAGTAATTGAGAATAGGGTCACTTTTGAAATGTCTTGAATAGCAATTCATACTTTTGATGTTACGATTTTTAATATTAAATTATCACCTACTTATTATTTTATACAACATGAAACTGTGGTTTAGTAAACTTCTTACGGCTAATTTAGAAAATTATAAAAAATAAAACAGCTTGAACACTCTTCGATGGAAATAATAATTATAATTTTAGAGGTGGACACAATCCACTCCAATCGTGATATTAATAAGTACGAGTTTATATTGTGTCAGACACTATTTATAAATCAAATGTCCATTAAAAAAGTCCAGTAAGTCCTTACAACAGAGGGCTACTTGTAACCACCAACATTTATAACATTCCGTGACTTACTTGAACTTTGAAATTACAAGAATACAATACTTGGCAAGTGTATTCAGCATTTAGAATGACTTAATAAATGTAATTACCTGTAACAATAGGGATATTGAAACAATTCCTTGAGCTTTGTGTAGAGCCTCGGAGAAGTTTGAATACAATTGTGAATTAAAACCGAATATCTGAATCTGGAACAAATTAAATTATAAATTACCTTGTTCTTTTTGTCTATATCTGCATTGGCTTTATATTGTTATATCCAGGTCGTGGTTTAAATAACATAACATCACGCCTTTTATACCCGAAGGGGTAGGCAAAGGTAGGCACACAGAGGTAACACCCACTTTTCACTATTAATGTTATGAATCTCGTGTAATAGGGGATGAGCCTATTGCCATATACCGACCCGGGAACGGAACCCGAAACCCCTTGCCACCGCAGTCGCACTTGTGACCAATCGACCAACGAGGCAGTCGTGGTTTAAAATGGCGTATATAATAGTATTATTACTTAACATTAACTCATTAAACATATTTTATTTAATATCTTCACATTTATGTAAGATTTACCGCTCGCATCCATAAGTTAACTATGTATAACAAACTAAACCTTTAAAACTGAAAGTAACATCCAGGTCACGGAAAATTGTACAAATCGTCGATTACTTTAAAAAAGTTATTTTTAAGATTTTCCTTGTTCATAAACTCTTAACATAACATCAATAATATTTGGATTAAAAGCCGTCGACGAACACGTGATTTTGGATTTACCTAACATGACTGCGTGAGAATTTGTCACATAAATAAACAGGAGGCATGGTTGAGTTGGTTCGCAGTGAAGTCGTTCGCCGGGATTACATTTGGGATTTGAACGTCTCAACGAGAGGCGTAAGGATGCGTGTGAAAACATCTGTTACGCTTTCTTTTGAGACCTTTCCAAAGAAATCCCTGATAACATTTTAACGTTTATCTACGTTACATGTTTATTCGACGCTTCACTTAGGTTTTATCCTCGGTTGCTTACATAATGTAACACGAGTGTTGCGAATCTCTGACTTTACGATGATATCGAGGGGTAACGGGCTATTTGGTTTAAGCGACATTTTGGGCGATATTGAGTTATATATATATTCGGAATCAGCGAATTTTTCTCCGTCGAATGATGCCGGTTTCATTAAAATCGGAGCACTTTTTTGGCGTTTCAAACAATTCTATTTTCATGTTGTTTCCAAAGTGGCAGTGTATTAAACGACATGGATTTCGCATTTTTTATTAAATTATGTACTTGAACCATACCATCATATTAATAACCGAGACATAAACCAGTCACCCTATCTCTAATGATTAAGTCAACATGAGTTAAAGCGATTTTCTTGTTTCTAATTTTTATTAACAAGTAACTTGAATCATTTTGACTTCCCACTAATCACACGGTGTGATGTCGCTTAAAACATTTGTCCGTCATCCAAATGCGTCATGGTACGTCTCTTAAACATTTCTAGCTGCCTCTATTTTCTACGCAGGGTGCTACTTAAACCAAATAGTTGTTTTCGTTCAGATATTTTGTTTAGTCATAAACCATTTAACCCTAATTTTTTTTTTAAATGCATGTCGTTTTATACAGACGATAACATTGATAATGAATATTGAAACATTTTTCCAGTATTCATAGAAATACGAGTCGGTCTTTCAATCACTAAGTTTTAATATGGTACATTGCAATCATGTCATATGATACCATATTTAATTCATCGCCCTGGTGTTAAAAATCGTTATCATCCAACTGGACTATCGTGCGCTGGCGCTTCAGTCACTCCAGAGTGCGCCGAAAACAGACCGGACGCGTGCACACCGCCAGTGTTTACGTAAAACGCTCATCGAAATTGAATCCTAAGTACTTTAATTTCAAGATGAAACTCGCGGTCGTTCGAAGACTTGAACAATGAATTTGATGACATACAATCTACGGCTGATTTAGCAACAGCTTTCGACGTTAGCGTCAAAACAATATTGGTACATTTGCGTCAAATTGGCAAGGTAAAAAAGCTTGATAAGTGGGTGTCCCACAAACTAAATGATCAACAGAGCTAAGTATGCATCGAGCAGTGCGAGGGGGACTGGGATGTCTCCTCCCTTATTTCGCAGTTATGCTAGCTAAGGAGGAGGCGGGACGCGTGAGGCAGCGAAGCGCTGGCTCCTCGCAACCCAGCCATCGCGAAGGACACACCTGGCGTCGGGGATCGCGGGACGATCTCCAGTTACCGTAAGCGCGGGCCTGCGTACGGTGAGCATGGATGGCTCCACGTCCGACCAGAAAAAGACCCGAGCGTACGGCGCGTCGCGTTCCGCGCGCGCCTCAAAGAGCCATCAGACCACCACAGATGGGGTCCAACAGGGTCGATGCCGATTCGGAGTCGCGGAGAACCTAACGGGTAACCGGGGCTCCGACTCGACGTGCAGGAGAAGAAACGGGGTGATTTTTAGTCAGTAAGAGTCTGACACTCTTTCCCGCCTCACCCAGGCGGGAGCAGTCATTCGATGATTTTCCACCCTTAAAAAAAATGCATCGAGTAGTGCCTTGCACTGCACTGCTCAATATACACACAAATGAAAGAATTTTGATTTGCATTGTCACCTCCGATGAAAAATGAAATCTGTGTGATAACCACACGCGTTTAGCATGTTGGTTGAATCCTAGTTCAGCACCTAAATAATGCCCTAAACGAAAACTTACCCCTAGAAAAGTGATGGTCACTGATGGTCTAGCGCTCGCGCTATTCTGATTCATCACAAATTCTTACCAAACGGAGTGAGCATTACTACGGATGTGTAGTGTGAAGAACTGAACACAATGATGGAGAAGCTGACACATCTCCAACCAGCACTGGTCAATCGCTAATCTCTATTGCTCCTGCATTACAACGCGCGACCTAAAGCTGCACAAGAGACGGCCTCCACGTTACAAGAACTGGGGTTGTGAAGCTCTCCGACATCCACCTTACTCACCAGTCACCAGACTACTTCTTTTTCCAGAATTTGGATAACTTCTTGGCGGGAAAAAATTTAATAACCGAGAGGCAGTACAAAATGCATTTGAAGAATTTGTTGCTTCCCGTCCAGCTGATTGAAGAAGGGCATCAATAAACTACCAATGCGTTGGCAACGATGCATTGATTGCATGGGTGATTACGTTGATTATACAAATAAAAAATACATGAAAAAATCGTTTAAATTTTTTCATACATTACGGCAATTTCAGTAAATGACCCATTAATTTAATTGATTTTGCTGAAATATAATCGATATTCCTATTGAAACTGTTATTATTACTCTAAATAAATACTTTGATATTGTGTTGTGTTTATTTATTCAATGTAAGCATCTGAGATTTTCGGTGATTGCGGTATATCCAGGTTGTTTTATCAGCCATTAATCGCCTTAGATGTAAATAAACATAAACATTAAACGTTATAATTTCAATGTTATATGTCACATAAGTAAATTAGCCTGTCACTCATTTTAGTCTGAATTGGTAGTTAAGATAAATAGCTTGCTTCTATTAATTTTGGGTTTCGTCACTTCATATTTTTAGCTGACTCTATAAATAGAGTGCATTGTCGCTTAATTTTTTTCCCTTGTAGCCAATTGTAGTTATGAAGTCACTTAAATCGTTTTTCCTGACTCTAAAAAAGGGCAGATTGTATTAAGCGACATTTATCTTTGTAATTAAAGGTCCGCTTTATTTAGAATTAGCATCAGCAACTAGATAATTTAATTTAAATTTCAATGCAATTTACCCCGTTCAAATAACTGCAGAAATGTTTTTGTTACGAATTTTTTTTCGAAATTTCAAACTTTAAAAGGCTCTCCTGTAAAGTTGCAAAAATGTCGCTTAAACCAAATAGCCCGTTACCCCTCGATATAAATCTTTGACAACGGCACTACATACTTACTATGTCAAGAAAATTATTTATACACCAACCTTTGTATATTTTTTGGTTTAATTTTGCTTCGTTTATGTTATGGTGACCATAGTACCAAGTAATAATAAATGTCAATTTGCTTCCTCTATACCTTTCCAGTTTGTTAATGTTTCACGTGTTATATACATATTATATAAACGTATTCTATGGACGCCATTTTAAATACTTATTTTTATAATAACAAGAATACTTCAGAGTTGACAGACTGTCTCGTTGAGCGAGTGGTCGCAAGTGCGACTGCCGGGCAAGGGGCCTCGGGTTCGAATCCCAGGTTGGGCAAAGTCTTACTAGTTTTTTATAAATTCTCAGTAGCACGTAGCACGGAGTCTGGAATTGTGCTCGGTATATGGCAATAGGCCCCTATTACATGGGACTCATAACATAAATAGTGAAAAGTGGGTGTTACAATGCACAGTGGCATAATGTGTACCTCTACCTACCTCTTCGGAGATAAAAGGCGCGATGTTATGTTACATTACTTCAGAATTCTCACCTCAGCTGGGAAGGTATACCCATTGATGGCGTGTTCTGATCCAAACTGGTCGTGTAGGCCGTAGTGGATGTGGATCTCATGGAACTGGTACTTGTAGGAGAGAGGCCCACCAGTAATGTTGATGTGATGCCGGGTCTCATTCTCCACAGTGAAGATCACTGAGTGGCCTGTGTTGCTTATTAGGCCATTTATCTAGAAAAATAAAATTCATTAAAAAAAGATGTTTAACATAATATTTGTTTGATGGGCAGCACGGCACAAGATCAACTTACTCTTTTCTGTCGAATGCCTTTATTAGATTTTCAACTCTATCGTTTAGATGTAAAGCCGACAATCCAATGACAAAAATTTGGTGTGCTGGTCACTGTACTGTATTTATACTAATAATAATAAATATAAATAATAAAAATAAAATCTTACTCTATGTTTATCTATGTGTAAAAACCGTAGGTTTGGATCGAACAGCAGTTTGTCTGGTTCCAAATTGACTGGGGATTGGCGCCGGCCTTTGTTGCATAGCGACCATTCTGGGTTGATCAGCCCCCAGAACGCTGGACCTAAATAACAAACAGTTTAAACAAAGTATTAATAAATCTAATAGGATTTATTCTTCTATCTACATAAGGTGGCTCTGCAGCAGTGCTTGTAATTAGTTGAGTGGTACCATGTACAGCCTGCTCAGTTATGTAGAACGAAAATAAAGACTGATTCAATACTGAGGCAGTATCCTTTGCTTGGCTGCTGAGCCTATCAATGGTATTTTTAACAAACATCGCTGTATCAATAAAAACCTTATCATTTAGTGTAACAATAGCTACTGTCTTTGTACTGAGTATTTATTTCCTATCTGCATACCAAATAAGGAACTATGCAGACTGTATCTCTGCTTTTATCTCTGTCTTTAAGTACAGATAAAATAAAATATTCCGTCTCGGAGTCTATGTCTTCAAAAAGGGTAAAAAGCTTAGGTACTAATGGGCAGAGGTCTTAGAATATGTACACATCCTTGTTTGTCAGCTGTAGCATACAACATGCAACAATTTAACTAAACGCTGAAACAGCATGCTTTAGTAAGAAAAAAAGAAAATAAAATGCAATTAAAAAATTAAAACACAATTGTTCAAAAGAATCTACAGTACAGCTGTCAACAACTAAAGGTTTTTTAACATATTATCAACTCAGTGTCCTAACAGCTCATTTTTCCATGTACACAATGTTCGGCGTCTCAGGTCCATTACACCCAAGCTCAGTCAGCACGCAGCTTAAAGTAATAGAATCAAGACCGACTTCAATAAACGTTGACTCAGAACAACTTGAAACTAGGAGAGACTCGATTGGATTGAATTTGTTCGACGAAAGGAAAAAAGAGTTTAACATAAATTGAGTTCTTCCTATTGGTTTCTTAATCTGTTTATGCTTTCAAGATTAAGGATTATGAAATGGATTGCTGTTCAATTGGATTATGTTTACGTCTATACGCTTATCAGTATTTATGTTTTTGTATATTTATCTACATATTACTGTTGATATAGGCAGGTAAAGTATTAAAAAAATAATCATTTTTGCGCTTGAAAGTACTTATCATTATTATGTAGTTATGATAGTCCTTGCATGATTTGTGTTCTTGTCTAGACAGTTGAACTAAAGTAATCAAATACAATATGTTCCCAACAACATAAAACCAATACCATAACAACTAAAGCTTCCAATAACGCTATCAACCACTAAACCAGAAAACATCCAATTACAAAATACGTTTTACACATTATAAAAATTAACACTCATAATGATAACGTAATAACAACAATTGTGTCCCAATTTAAACATGACTGTAATCTGTGGTTTTTTGACATTCACATAGTATGTATTATTATATGAAATTGTATCAGTATGTCGTATAAATGTCAGCTGGTATCAGATGATACAGTTACCGTGTTAATTATCACAATGAAAAAGGCCTTATTGTTAATGTTCTCTTGTTCAATACATGAACATAACATGCGTCCAATAATTATTTCAATTTTCTCATGCATAAAATTGAGAGCATTGAATCTGATTGTTCTTATTTCATTGGGTTTGTTATTGTTCTTACATTACTGTAATACATTTAAATTGATATTTGTTTATACTGAAGTGCAAAAACCTGACTGTGTTCTAAATTGAGTTTTTTGGTTACGTTTAGATTAGACTTATTCAGTAATTACCCACAGTTCCCACAGAAAGACGATCACATGGATACTTTTCCGCATTGCGAATCAACAGTCGCATTTTATTTCACCTTTCTACAGGATCGCACAAGAACCCTAACGAAAACACCGAAAATCGCGGGCGAAGCGTTAATAGACTATAAATGTATTACGGGAAAGTAAAGTGTCCCTTTCCGTTCTCAGTATCGGCCGGCTTTTAGCATGTTCCTAAATAATCAACGGCTTGTTCGGATCTTTGTCCGAAACAGTATAGCCTGTAAGCCGAGGCTCTAGCCTCACTTTAGCTCTAAGCTGCTTGTCCACCTGCGCTCGACCCGTTTCGGGGGAAATCGGAGAATATTGTTGGCCCCTTAAGAGAAATATAGATACTTGGGTACGTTTAATTTAATAATTTCGAGTAACTATCCAAAATTTGCTTTGGTTAAGAGTTAGTTTGCTGTAAGACAAGTAAAGTAATTTCAATTGACAGCTCTTTTGGCCTACATTTTCATAGTATTTGAATCGAGATAACTTTTGAGTTTAGTCTGAAAAATATCACAAGTAACATTGAGTAAAAATTTGATTTTATCTAATCCAATTTTTTAATACGTATTTATTACATGTGTACCTAAAATGTTAATGATAAGTTGACAGTGTTGAAGTGACATTAACACAGTCCAAATTAACAAACAAAAAAATGGCGTCACTGCAAATGACAACCGAATCAACAGATTAATAATAATCAACAACGAGTTAACAGCTCGTAACACTGATTAATAATTTCATGATCCAGGTGGACCTACCTCTATATTATGCAGATAACGTTCGGAAAAACCGCAAACATTTATTTTCCCAAGGTATTTCAATATTGGCGGGGAGTGGCGTGAAAGTAGCCAAAGTGCTTTGGATCGTATTCACGGTTTTATTATTTATGACCTTGAAAATTGCATGAGTAAGCCGGCGCAGCGGTTGCGGTCACGCCCACTTTATGGCCACGCGTTAAGTGAACTTTCCGTTAATGCTTGCATTTTTTTATTGTTTTTGGCATTGTATGGCGTGCAATGTCTCACGTATACTTTGCAGAAACGGTGTGTATACTGTATTTAGTATTTATAGGGCTAAGTGTTAAGTATTTGTCTGATATACTTACTGTCAAAATATATGAGTATCAAGACCCATTTAATTTTCGCGCTACAATTGAATTGACTAAAATTAACTCGAATTATGATTCTTTGTGATGTAAACCGCATCTTCGATTTGTATAATATTGATGTTTTGTGAAAACCTTTTCTTTTTGTTTTGTTTGAATTTCACAGATACAATAGAATACACATCTGCGAACTCGTTTTTCCAAGAACTGTAAGTATTGTTTACATCAGTTTCATTTTACAGCCAATACCTTTATCAAAACAACGTGATTTTAGCAACTAGACAAAACAACTTCGTCATAATTTACGTTTATTTGTAAATGCAGTTCTAACAGATACGATCAATAATGAATTTACGATAGAACATAGCTTTCAAATGGTGATACTAAATTTATTTGACTAACGTCGCAAAATTTTATCGGTATGTAACTATTCGGTGTAGTGTAGCAAATGTATATATAATAATGGAATAGATATTCATTTCTGTTTAGTAATTTAGTATGTTGTAAATAAAATATTGTTATTGAAGGAATTAATTTTATGTTGGTTTGCCCATTTCGATATATTTATATAGATACCCTTGCTTCTTGTTCCTTGAGATATTTTGGATATTTTGACTAAGATTTTACGTTCAATTTTCAATACACACAAGAGATTTTTAGGTTTAAGGCTTAAAAGTTGATAAACATTAACTCGTCGAGTACCGGTTTTATAGACACAATTAAAGAACAATAGGACGCGGTCACCGGTGACCGCTTGGTGTTTGACAGTTTAAGAACCGAAGACAATGTACTAAAGTGTGAAGTTAAATAGTTAGCTTTTATTATTTTAAACACTACGTTCTTATTGAGAACTGAAATAAAACAATCCTTGTCCGAAGCTGAAAACTTTGCCTCGATGTTTTCCTTAGTCGTATTTTCATTTTTATAAATTGTCTAAAAATAAAACATTATTAATTTTGTTCTAGACAGTGGTAACAAAATTTAATTTCTTTTCCCTCCATACGCTTCTTTTTTAGACGAACTAATCAAGGCGCGATACGATTCGTGCATTAAAAATGTATTGGCTCTCGTCAGGCCTGTCCGAAGTTAGAGAGCCGAAGTTGCGTGACACCGCTGTACATCTTTATACAGTATTCAGTGGTATTGGTAATCGGTACATACATTGATTAGTAATCCAATGATGTCGATTACAAGAAGCAATCTTAAAAGAGACTAGCTAACTATGCTGGAGATACTTTTTAAAACGTATAAATATGTAAACACAACTCAATTAACTTCTTTCTTTCTTTTCTTTCTTTTAACTCGTCGAGTACCGGTTTTATAGACACAATTAAAGAACAATAGGTCGCGGTCACCGGTGACCGCTAGGTGTTTGACAGTTTAAATTAAAACGTTGCCCCACACTAGGATTTTCTCCTGTGTCGTGGGCGCGTTTACAAACATACAAGTTCACATACACGTTACACCCAGACTCGGAACAACAATCTGTGGATCACACAAAGAGTTGTTCCGTGCGGGAATCGAACCCGCGACACGTTGCGCGGCAGTCAGTTGCCCAACCACCGCGCCAACCGTGCAGTCATCTTCCTCTGACTTTGTAATCTGAGTGTCGAGTCTTTAGGATACCTGGCTATTGGTTAAAATACAGGAAATAGGATTCGATTGATGACGATTAACTGTCGAGTGACTTAAGTTATGAGTCAGGTAGAATTAATTCTCCAGCGATAAAACTTAGGTTTAATTGTTATTAGTAAAGTTGCAAAAAAGTTCGCGAAATATCGTAAATGTGTATATTACCTATGTCTCTTTTCTTTCTACTCTATTCCAATAAACCTAACTAAGTAAATAATAAAGAAGGATATTATAAAAAAGCTTTACCCAAAATAAACCCACGCCTGAACACATACACAGCCACAGTGTAGAAAATCTCAATTCATTGACCTACCGCAAAACATTTGTTCGATACGTCGTATCAATTTCTCTGGCGATAACATTTTTGCTGGTTTACGTGACACGAAATTTATACGGGCGATTTATCTCGTATTCATATTACGTCATTCACAAAATTGTGAGGTGTTTTATCGTATGTTCGGGAACTGATATTTCTCTGATAACTTCCGTGCGTTTTATGACCGTCTAATTTATTTCCCGAGTACCGTCGACTTGATTTTCTACAGGATCGTCGAATTGTTGGTTATGTTTAAGGATTTTGATACTTTTGAGTACAGATTTATTAATGTTTTTATTAACTTCATACTGGTACTGTTTCATTTTTACGTTGGTTTTAGTATATTTAAGAAAAACAATCTTATGAAGCTAAGCTTCGGCATGTGGGATTCCTGGACAGTACCAAGATTACTAAATTCTACAAGTAAGATTAATAAGGATTGCAGTTTTTGTGTGTCAACGAAGTCGAGTGCAAAAGCTAGTATACAAAAACAATACCAATGAATACAATAAAACTGATTTCAGAGAGACATACAAATGGGTATTCAGTTAAAATTATATGTATTTAAAACCCAAAATAATAATGACATAAGATAAATTATACAATCGGGAACGCATAATATGTTTTATCGCAAACAAGTTATCGTTTACGTAATAATAAAACATATATAACACAATTGTATTGGTTACACAATCCCTAACAAGATAAAAAGCTGAATCATGCATATTTTTTAATTAACCTCTTCAACTATTTTCTAGGTTCTAAATATAAAATCTGAATATCGAAATCTAAAAAGACGCTAAGTAGGCAAATGAATTGACGAAACTTTCACGATATGTATGGCAGTTCTCTTGTATCTACATGGTAAGGTATGGAAGTTTGTGGTAAGTAGAGATTTATCGTCTACAATAAAATATGAAGATAATTGTCTGTCGATATTATAGACTAGTCGTATAGTAAATAATATACTCAAACACTGCAAAACATAAAGTTAATGAAAAAAGACAAAGGAAACACGAAAACACATACAACAAATTACACACTAGTACTAAAAATGCAACAAACATAAACCCGCATACAAATAGTGCATACTCGATTCATAAATATTAAATAACGTAATAAAATTTAACAACGACACTTGTAGACCGTAGCAAATCAACCTAATCCAATCTGCAACATTTATTTTCAACTTTATCCTTACGTACTAAAGTTAAAAATCATATGAAAATGTTTGACAAATTGGGGTAGGTTGATGTGCGGTCTTTAGAATAAATGGAGCTCACCTGAGATCCCGTCGTAGGTCCACCATTCCTCCCAGCTGACGGCACTGACGGCTGCAATCAGACCATTCTAATTAAGTCTGCACTGTTCACAAAATGAACAACCCTACTTGTTATAATTGAGTCATTTTACTTAGCGTTTCTACCTAAGTTTGTTACATATTTGATGATTTTACTTATTGCCAGTCTCGAAAATTTATCTGTCTATACATTTGGCTACAGAAGACGAATTTCGACACATTTTGTTAAGGAGTTTCGTTTGAAATGAATTTGAAATTAATTCTTCCTTTGGTAAAACATCTACTGCTGTATACTGTGTAAGTTATTAAGACTGGTTGTTTTCTGTTGACATTGGGAAGTTTGTATAAGAGTTTCATAACAATGTTCTCAATAATTTATTGTTTCCCGACTCTTAATTGTAAAATGTAAACCGATTCGAGATTTTTTTATATTTGCAAGTTGTTGTAGTCTAACATTTTACAGTGTAGAACAGATTTCAATAATGGCGTTTGTTTAATAAATTTTTACTGGACATTTACCTGTGTTATAAATCGAATCAACGTTAAATTATTTTGTTACTTTGTATCAACTGTACTTCGTAATAAGTTTTTATAATAACTATGGTGAGACATACTAAATTAACTTAAAAATCGCGAATTACTCACGTGAATATATTGAAAAAAGCTCTACTAGTTTCGAACCACAGAGAGGTTCTTCCTCATGAGCAGCGTGCGCGGTCGCGGCGATGTCTCGCAGACTACGGTTTATAGTTAATCCGTAATTAGATGTTACTTTTTTACAGCATAACCAAAAGGCATCTAGCAACGTTAAAGGTGGAAGGATTTGTACTTTGCAATACTTTAATCGCATTAAATTTTACAAATAAATAGGTACATCGAACTGTAGCGTGCAGAATTTCTTGTACATTTTTGTGACATACGACAAGTTTATCGTCATAATAACAAATATCACTTTTTCACAGCTTAGAGGCTTCCTACGAATATCGTTTATATTTGTAGGAAGTCTCATAGTTAGGAAAGTTGTAGGTAGTAGGAGTTCAATAAATTGGCTAGAACATTCAAGTTTTCATGTTAAGTTTTTCTCGGGAATATTTGTTGTCATTAGTGGTTTCGAGAACATATGATACAAGAATCTATGAACCATGAAGAAATGTCTACAGACCAATGAAAAATATTGTCTTTAAGGTTTATATTTCATAAAAATTAAAACAATTTTCATCTATTGTTTTGTATAAAATACAATTTTTATCTTCCTTTTCTCGTGTTTTCCTCAAGCGAATCAATGGAAATGAAATGAGTGAGCCAATGGAGCGGAAAAGCGTTATTCTTTTGAAACAAAACGGTTTTTCCTTGACGTGGTGCGATGTTTGACACCCGATATTGTTTGTGTTTAAGTACCTTAGCTACAGTGACCGACAATAGTGTTAAAAGAAAAACATTATAAAAATAAACATTGATTTCAAAGTACTGCATTTGAAAAAAGTATACAGAGGTAGATGAACGTGGGAATTGTTAGTTTCCATTATAATAAAATAAAATATTGATATTTTAGAAGATGCGCTGTTGTCCCTGACTGTACGGAGCGAGGTGCTTGCACCGTAAACTTTGTCTGACAGGTCTGTTGTTTCAATACGATTATATTGTTTGCTGCTTTTTAGAAAATTTTACTGTCCAAGTTGAATTTACAAATTGATGTGTATTTAAATTGTTAGCGTTTAGTTGATTTTGCAATATAGTAATGTTGTTTGTTTATCATATTTTGTGTTATTAAATATTTAATTACAACTTTTCGAGTTATATGTACTTTCTAAGATTATTTAGACACCACTGACAAACGGTGAAGGAAAAACATCGTGAGGAAACCTGGACTTATAATTTCTAATTGTAAGTTTGAAATCGCCAACCCGCATTGAGCAAGTGGTGATTAATGCTCTAACCTTCTCCGTGTGAGAAGAGGCTTTGCTCAGCAGTGGGCATTTATAGGCTGTTGATGATGATGATGAAATATTTAATACAAACTTTTATTCGATTACAATTACAACAATATTCATGTAGTACTACTTAAAATGTCCCCAGTTTTAATTATATAATTATAACAGCGTAAAACCACTTCTAATTAAATAAAAATACATTTAACGCCAAACGCTCAAAAAATCCGACTTCATAAACACCACCCGCTTACGGGAGAAGGATTTACAAAAGATTAAAATTTCTAATTTGAGCTGGCTAAAGTTCTCTTAATTAAGATTATGAGATTATGATACTCATAATAATTTCAAAGCAATTAATTCGAAAATACTCAGTAGAGATTCTTACGTTACAAATTATATTTGCGGTATTTTTTTTCTTATTCGTTGGATACATTTGTCACGGGCTATTACAAATGTCATCATGCTATTTATTGGATGTAGTTTAATTAAAATCAACAAAGTTAAAATCATAATACGTGTAGTGAAACGTGCATTCGAAATATACACCAATCTCGAAAGTTACTCGATACACGGCTGATTTATGTTTTTAATTTAAATTTTTGCATTCGCCAGGCGAAGTTCGCCACGGACGCGCCGCCTGCATCGCAAATATATGTTACAGTCGAGTCGAGAGATCGTTTCCAGTTTCGATTCGATACAGCTTGAGCGAACTGTCGACTTTTAATCTTTTAATGCTACTCAACAAACTTCAGCCTCACGGAGTACGGCCCCGTTTATTTGAAATAATATATTGCATACGATATTTTGCTTTTGCGAATGTCTATAATGGGAATATTAGCTTCCTACGTGCTTCTTTAAGAATAGAGTAGATAACAGATACATAGTTTTAAGCTTTTGTAATCATACTAGTGTGCTTGTGTCGCTGAAACGACAAGCTTTGTTATGTACAACAAACTATAATGATTGCTTTGTAACTTCGGTAACAGAGATAATATTAAGTGAGCTCGCAAGCCTGCATGGACATTAAGTACAGCTCAGTGCGGCTTAGAGCAACTTTAGTGTCGAAAACAACACCTGAGGCTACGCGCGGTTCCTGCTCAATCTATGAATAACTGAACTTTGAATAAGTATATCAGATCAACATATAATATCTTGCAAGTTGTATCACTACAATTTATGTGTGTTGCTACTAGTGATAAAGTACAACTGTTAGTGTTGAGACAAAATATTCTTTATCATGAAGTTAACATTGATAAAATATTTTAAAATGTATGCACTATTCTGTTGTACCGTGCGAATACAGAAAATAACACATATTGTCGACGGTACCCGAGTAAGTATATCGAAACAAATGTAAGATTGAATTCTTATGCATTGTTGCATTTTGCAGACGCGATTGCTACGTGAAGTAGGAAAGTGCTCGCACGGGAGATGCCAGTCAGCGTCTGCTTAGTTTTAAGGCTCGACAGAGTCTGGAAGTCGGCACACCTTCCAGCGCTTACCCGCGGGAAATACTTATCTACTTACTATTGTATGTTTAACCTTGTTTACGCTTCAGTAGCAGGAAGATTTATGGTTATTTTTAGATAGCACCTGTAAAGTTCCTGCATCGTAAGCACAGTAATTTACAATTAACAACATTTCAAAGGTATTGATGTCGCAATCAAATGTTGAAAACGTGAGCAATTCGCAGCCGACGAACTCCACAAAGAGCTTCAACCATGCATCGGAAATGAATCAGTTTCCGTTTCGAGTGAGGCAAATGATATATGTGTCTACGTTTGCATGCCAAACGGGACTCTACTGTCTACGTGGTACCGTTCAATGCACTGCGGGCTTAACAAATTTAAACAGGATGCGCTGCTTGTAGACACATTGTACTTTCGTACATTTTAAATGCATAGCAAGTAAGTTCGAGAATGTTCAAGAATTAAAAGTAAGGAGTGCGCTCGTCGCCTGCTGTTGTACGAGGACGAAACAGGGATGATTCGGATGCATCCAGACTCCCGTAACGATTTTCCGATGCATTGAGCCGAAACGAAACGAATGGAAATGTCATCGATGTATGAAATAAATAAATAAAATCACGTGGAAAATAGGCAATTTCACGGTGCATTGGATGTTCTTTGAGCGGATGTGCAAGACTGCGATCGCGTCGTATCGCAAACTAGTGCCGACGTCCGCATAACAAAAGCTTCGTTCGCGCGAATAATTTTAATCGGGTCCTGAGTGCTTCTTACATTACACGTAACACGCGCACTGACTTCGTATCGTGCACTACTCATATTATTCACGATTTCATTGCTTTTGCTGTGCACATTTTAGTATCATAATATTAATTAATATTTACGGTGAAATTCTAAATTAGATCTTATTTGTTTACTCTATGTAGCCCACTTTTCGTAGAATTCATTTTAATTTCATTAACGTTGACAATTAAATGCAAATTGATAATGCAACGTAGAATTATGCTACTACTAATGAGTTATGAATAGGTGAATGTAAAATAACAAGCTTCTCTATAATATTACAATTTCATTTAACATTTAGTTGGTCGTCAGTTTTTATTTTTGTCTCGAAATTAATGAAAGATTTACCCACAGAGAAAATCTTAATACCGCAATTTTCGTTTTTCTTCTTCCTAAATCATTTCATTGATATTCATTTTCTTGTTTATCTTATGATACATTTTTATAATTATGAACTTATTACTTTGTATCACATAATATAAAATTACAGATATTATTATTTTCTTTATAACTGTCCCACACTAGGATTTTCTCAGGTGTCGTGTATGCGTTTTCAAACATACAATTTCACATACACATGACACCCAGACTAGAAACAATAATTTGTAGATCACACAAAGAGTTGCTCCGATTGAGAATCAAACCTACGTAAACCCTACACGTTGCACGAAAGCTGTGTGTCAACTTGAACAACTTGTTTGTATCCGAGGCAAGCCCATCCTTGTTAAAGACCTAATATTCGATAGTTACCCTAATCGTTTTGAGGGTCTAATTCCTTGCTATTATTGGAAAGAAATCCTATATTGACTCATATAGATTCTGATCTGTACTGACACAAGTCCACTGATACCAGACGTTCGCTCGGATTCGAGTCGTTACTCAATGTTACTCAATTAATCGCACTGCGGATCGGGTGTGAAATTGCGATGTGACTGATCTGTTGAACTTTAAATAATGCCACTCGCATTTATAAACTGTACCTTTCCCGTAGAGTTTTATTTTTATGATACGTTTCTAAAGTAGCTCTCTGAGTTCAGTTAAGGTAATGTATAGAAGAACACTGAGTTTTAATTTTAGCTGTGATAAGTTAAAATCTTTTGATATATTACTTATATGTATTTTTTTAAGGGGGGGGGGGGAAATCATCGAATTACTGCTCCCGCCTAGGTGAGGCGGGAGGGAGTGTCAGACTCTTACTGACTAAAAACCACCCTGTTCCTTCTCCTGCACGTCGAGCCGGAGCCCCGGTGACCCGTTAGGTTCTCCGCGACTATTTATATGTATTACAGCCTACTACTACGGTAAAAGAACTGTACCTCAATATGTTCTCTTCCCACTTGCTGCGATAAAAACTGTAATTCTGGGAGATTGTGACATTGAAAGACAGTGATGACTCAATTAATTATCGTGTTTTCAGCTTCAGTAATTATTTGACGAGGAACTCGACTAGTTTCAAGCCATGCTAGAGGCTCATATTCACGAGCGGCATTCCGCGACCCGCGTCGCGGCGCCTGTCGCGCTGGTGCTAAACTAGTTCCTCGTCAAATAATTACGTGAGTAAGCTGAAAACATAATAATTAATTTAGTATGTCTCACGAAAGTTATTATACAAATACAGGGACGACTCCCTATGATTTTGTATTGATACATAATTATTTTTTACTTCCTGGATTTAATTCATTATGTAGGCGCATTCGAAAGTCACTTATTATGATAGAACTGTAGAAGTTCCGTTCCAAAAATAAATCAAGTCAATTTTCCTTTATCATTTCTTAGTAGGTATTCTTAGAAGCATGTGGCACAATATTTATAGAACTTTGTATTTTTTCCGTCTAGATTTAGCTTCTCAGTGGTCGATTGCGTATAAACAAAACATGGTTTAGTCTACAAGAATTATGTAGGTAGCCGACATGTTTATTTTTGTGTAGGTTTAGGAAAACAACGAGACAAATGTTGTCTAAGACGGCAAGTAAGAATCAAAACCAAATACGTATTACAAATGATTAATACTTTTTATTGGCCAATTATTGGAGTATAAGAAAAATACTCGCTGCCATTCCAGTTTCCTAACCAGCATTTATGGTAACCTAGTTTGAGACTAAGGTCTTACGACGCGATCTTCACCCGCGGCCGCCGTGGTTGCGATTATTACCCGCAAACTTGGCGGTTAAATAACGCGCGGTGGCGCAGGCGGTTCAACAATCAGCTGAATTCCAGAATAGCCCTCCCATTACGATCGCCCGCCAACCAAAGACCGTAGAGCACGCGGGTGCTAGCCGCCGCGGCCGTGTCCGCCAGTGCAGCGGTAGCCGCAAACAACCGCAACCGCCGCGGCCTTAAACGCGCCGTGAAAATTGCTTTGATTTTTTACATATATATCTGTATTCTACAACAGTTGTGGGCCCGCAACCGCTGCGAGCGCGGGAGAAAATCGCGTGAGTCCTTAGCCTTACCCAGGAGTCGAAAATTTGAGAGTCAGCTTGTATGTGTCTTTGTTACTCAATTTACTGAAGGGATCGGGATAAAATTTAGAACCGGGGTAGATTGTAGCCTGCAATAAAACATATGCTACTTTTTATTCCACGGAAACGCGGGAAAAGCTGCTGGCAGAAGCTAGTTAGGCATAATAACCTTAGTTCCCTTTACGACCTATCAACAAACAAGAGATACTATTTATGTCATATTTAGAACTACAGACGTAGCTAGATATTATCTACTAACAGCATTAAAATGGAAACTTCAAAACTTTTGTCCACACGAATTTAGTTCATCATACGAGTCTGAAGTTTAATATCTTAATTAAATTTCTCTTTAGTGGCAACTTCCAAGTTGTTTCATTGTATAACTAGTAACAATTTCTATTTATTGCTATAATGTTATATTTTTCGTAAGATCTATTCAAAATTTAGAAGAATCCCTTAGTAAAGGCTTTTGCCATTGATCAACAAAGGATCTTATTTGTTTGAAGTTTTGTATCTAATTTAAAAAAAAAAAGACTTATTACAGATAACGGAACTCCTCAACAATCAATAGCACACATGTGAGTTTTTGTATAAACATTCAATTCTAATGATTTTTTATATAAGACTCCATGTTTTTAAGTCATCTGCACAAAAATGTTAAATATTCACGTTATTTAGATTGATTGATCAGCCTTGATTGCCCTTTTGAATGTGGTACAATGCGAAATGGACTTTTGTGTATTTGTTACAAAGTTTACGTTGACATTGATTGGAATAAGATCCGTGAGGGAGGTGTAATATCTTATATTGCGGTGCGTTTGTAACAGTATTCGCGGTATGAACCACGTTACGTATTCAAGCGGTATCGCGGGTTGCACCGTCTGCGGTAAAACGTCTACATGCAAATTCTGTACTATTGTGCTTGAACATTTCATACGTTCAGTTTATCATAAATTTGTAAGTTTTTATCATACAACAACACGAACAGATGTCTACATGTTTCAATATTGTTAATAGCTGCTTCACGGATCAAATTTATAAGCCGTTTAATAAAATTACTTCAGTTTATTTCAGCCAAAATTATAATTTCATGTCCATATGCAATTTGATGACCGCGTAACATTAACTCCATAATTTTGTCGGATTATATCTCCAAACTGCCACCATTCCTTTATGCATTTTAATTAAAATTCCACGATCACATGAAATTCAACAACTGCATTAATTAATAATTTTATATCTCCCACATGTTAGAGATTAAAGCGAAGTTTCTGAGAGCTGCATTGAGCGTCACGTTAGCTCAAACTCATAATTCAAATTTCAATGTAAGGACAATATTCAGTGAAGCAAAGTTAAATTAAAGTTACATGCGGATTTGGCTGCGGTCCGGCGGAGCTTAAGGCGGGCTGTGGCACCTGCGCTCAAACCTAGCACTGAAAACACAATTTGTGGCGCGCCTTTTGTACTCTTGTTTACTTTTATGCATTTTATTTAAACAATTTTATTGTTGTATCCGTGGCTTTGAGAAAAGAAGGAAGATTTAAGGAAGATAGGTTTCGTTGCAATAAAATAAAATGTTATTTTGTTCAAGTTTAGATATAAACGTCTTTATAGTTAAGTTGAAGAATTAGGTCGATGCTTTTGAAGATTATGTAGATAGATTTTATTATTTGTGAATTTGTGACATAAATCGTCCAATTTTGGTGTTTTGAAAATTGTAAAAAAGATATTAATTTCGTTTCAGCTATTTTTAAAATTGGGTATTTGCCTTGATCAAAAATAAATTATTTCGACTGTTCAATACAATAGAATATTAAAAAATATTCACCCTAACATTAATTGATTTTATGACTGAAATTTATAACAAATAAGTATGCTGTTAAAAGCTAAAAAATAACGTCACTATACACAATCTCATACAAAATTCATAGAAATCTGTCGACAGTTCAATAAACTTTATTCTATTATTCTATTTTACTAGTTGGAAAGTACCCAATTATTACTATGTTGTTATTCATATCAAAAAAGGACGACTTGAAATACAATAAGTTCTATAGAACTTTTCTCTTATCAATACAGAAACAGTTTAGTGTAACATAATAACATTCCTAGATTAGTATGACGTCATGATCTACGTCCACGCGTCATGCTTAGGAGATACACGTGAAGTTTCAACAGTTCCCAGTAAGTTAGCACTTTACGACTGTTTGACTATGTGAACCAAAGTTTCATACTCTTGGATAGCTGCTGAAGTGTGTTATTAACTTCAAAATTAATTATAATTCTAAATCATTTCAGATTAATGTATCTCTTATTTTGTTCATAGAATTGCAAAAATAACGTCATTAAAATTCAATTTTTTTGTCGCATTAATGAAAAAGAATGATTATTTATAATTTCGTTCACAAATATTTACCAACAAGAAGATACACAATTTCAAGAAAATTTTCCTCATATTGCTAAATAAAACATAAACTAAAATAACAAAAACATATACACGTGTTGGAACAAGGCGACAACGGATGTTGACACGAGAAATTCTCCTCGAATTTTTGTCTTGCCTTAAAAGGTGTGTAAATAAGGGAGTGCGATACAATAGAAGGAGAGCAAACAAGGTCATAAAGCACGTCACAAGGACGATCCTATATATAATCAGCTTAGTGATAAATTGGCAAACAGCACGCGAACGACACAGCTGCTTCCGGCCCGGACCGGCCTGTCTCCGCGATCGTACTACTGCCGCCGGCGCCGGCTAATGCTCAGCGCACGGAAAGAATAATATTATCTTCACAACTAGTAACAACTAACAATGAGATGTGACATCGTTAAATTAATTCCTACCCCGCTCACTTCTACATATAAATCAGGATTTGTTAAGGGAAGTCACAATAGCGATACTCTCACCAGACAAGTAATCCTCAAGTTTGTTCTAAAGTTTGAATTACAATTTGAAATGAGATTACCATACAATAATATTAAGTACAACCATTTTCAGTAACGCTCATAAAACCGCAAGTGGGGAAAGGTATTTTATTTTCAGGCTCATAAAGTCTGTTTTCTTTTATTTTATGGTGAAATATTTTACTTGCTGCTTAACCGCAAGGGGAGGATACGAAGCTACGATAAAAACACTAATTACGAACCTGCACTTTGTTTTTGTTGACCTAAAGCTTATTTTCTTTTTTGTGGTACTTGTTTTAATGACGAAAACATATTGTAAGTAATTATCTTCGAGAATAGACACTCGTTATGAATAGACTTCCTTATCTAAATGTGGAACAGATTATAAATATAATGTTACAAATTTCAAATTTAGGTGATATCGTTATAATATTTACCCGTGTAGGAGAGCAGTATTTGCAGTAATGCCGACACTACAGCCGCTCCAAGGAGGCTGTGCATTGTCTATGACACGTTCTCTATCAGACCCGGCATTGGAATTTGTTTACATTTTATCGCTGGAGTATTCAGACTTCTTTAACTTTTTCATGATAGAAATAAAACGCTCAAGTCCTTAGTAGAGAAACTTTGGACATTCTCTTTTATATGGTTTCATGGTTGCATCTGAAACAAAGAAAATATTGTTAGATTAGATGCGTTGTCATTTCTTATTGAGGTACGGTAGAAGTAAAGAAAATCGTAAAATTAAGTTTGTTTTCGTTTTTCCACAAGTCATTAATATACCCAGGACTTAATTTGAGTGGTAGTGCCTAAATTAAAAAAAAAATGTGTGCCTCCTAAAACTCGTCAATACGGGCCCAGTTCTAACAATGCGAGGGAAATAGAGCAGTGGCAGATTGGCCGTCCATCGTGTACCTATGCACACCGCAATGACCCATTTACGTAAACATTTCGAAATTGTGGGAAAATGGCTAATTATTACGACCATTATTATATTAATATGAGTATCTACGGTACGGTATATTGTAGAAAAAAAAGTAAAGATTTATACATATTACTATAGTCGCAACTACCAACTTTTTGTAAATATGTTTTTGGTAACATAGGGTGCATTTTTTGTTTTAAAGTAGAAGAAAGTCTTCTTTGAGATCTATCGTAGCAGTTATTGCACAATAAGGACACTGGAGGTGATCTACTTAAAAGACCCGGTGACCCCTAATTGTTATTTAAATATGCTGGTGGTGTCCACGCGCGCCGAGGTGATTTTAGTAAGTCATGAATACCACACTTCCCAAGTGTGGGGAAGCCATGCTTCGGCACGAATGGGCCGGTTCGACTGAAGTGATACCGCGGCCTTACAGAAAACCAATATGATACGATGCCTGCGTTGTGTTTCGTCATGTGAGTGAGGTTACTGGAGGCCCAATTACCCTCCCCTTCCCCAATCTCCCCAATCCCTATATCCTCAACGATCCTCAAACTCCTAATCCCCAAGAGGCCGGTAACGCACTTTTAACGCCTCTGGTGTTCCAGGTGTCCATAGGCGGCGCCGATTGCTTACCATCAGGGGATCCGACTGCTCGTTTACCACTTATGCCATAAAAAAATCAATAGTGTTTCTTCCCAAAAGTCCTACTAAAAATATATCCCGACTTCTTAATCCACTAACACGCTTAATATTATACGAAAAACCTTAGTTTAGTTATAAGCGCACATACTAAATCTTAAGTTCGATTCTGATTATAAGGTGACTCAACACGACACTGAATAATCGACTTTGACATAATTATTTTATATATAAATACAGAACACCACGTAATTTATTTTACAAATATATATAAAATTGTTATTTAATACCAACAATCACAAAACTGTCCGAAGTTTATTAGTTATTCATTAACAAAACATGGCTCATTAATTAGCCATGCACGAGTATAAATTTAATGTAATAGCATAATATTTCTTTAACTGCAGTTATTTCTTTTATTGAATTATGCTGAAATTACTTTAAAATATATATATAAAGAAAAAAAAAAAAGGAGTCGATATTTGAAAGTTACAGATTAGGTAAGGAACGCGTAAGTGATTCGCAAATTGATTATTATTTTATAATTATTAAATTCTTGTGCATATTTTGATCACCTAGAAAGTTGATTACTAATTTTCTATAATTTGCTGTAATTTTAAGTAAATACAGTTAACTAAACGTGATTAGTTTTCTATTCTGTCATAGATAAACTAGGGGTAGACGGTAGACATTTACGATCACGATTATTTGCTCGTAAAAGTCTCACCCTACCTTACTTCACCATGTAACAATGATGAAATCGGACCGCAATTTGATAGAATTAAAACAGAGCTGTGATATTTATTTAAGGCAATGATAAGGATCTTTAAAACAAAATATGTAATAATAGCTCGTTGATACAAAAGATGGAATTATTTTTGTTATATTTATTTTACAGTATATTTATTGATTTTGATTGAAAACCTTCAAATTGATTTATTTGAGTTTAATAATTCATTAGATTTGACAACTTTTAGGTGCACTGTTATGATTATCGTGTGATATCGCGAACTGCATCTACTGCATCGATAATACATAATACATTGCACCGCCAATTATTAAAATGTACCGATGCGTACTGATTAAGTATATTAGCAATACCTTTTGGACTTTAAAAGGTAACAAAGAAACAACCAGATACCAATCGAATTCTTAATCTCTGAAAACTGTTACTCAACCCAAAAATATGAAACGAAAAAGGGAAATTTTAAAAAATTCGGCGATGCCATCGGCGTTTGTTCCGGAGCGACCGCTGATAATGGAGATTTGATATGTCGCCGTCCATGTTGATGTCGACCGTCGAGTTTGTTCGCCTCATCGTATAAATAAGCATAAAGTTGTGTGCCATCACGCGAACGAGTCGTTAACCCTGCTCCATGGCGCAGTAATGGAGAGGTGAGGGTGTCATTGAGACCACAACACAACCACTTCGGCACGGTCCGAATGACAGCTAAGAAAGGACTGTAATTAACAGTTGATAAAGTTTTAGAATATGTATTCGTGTTAGTGTTACATCTATATTACGGGAATGAAGATATTGGATTTGTAATGTTTTATTTATATTTATGTCGTCTGTTGTTATTATGTTCTACGATATTGTCGTGTCTGAAGGTTAAGGTGATTTTAATATAAGCGGGTTCGAAGCTGAACATGTATCGATACTATTTTTATTTTCAGTTATAGAATATAGGTAATGTAAGTTCTATGTACATGCTTGAGTCTACTGTATTCACTTTGAACAGGTGTGATCAATGGAGTAAAAGGATCAGGTATATCAGAGAGCGCTATACCCGGTTTCTGTCAAATGAGTCACACCAGTCAAGGACTTCTGTCCTTGAGTCTTGTCGTGTGATACTCACGGGTACAGTAGGGATAGTGATAAATGTTATCGTCACCACAAGTGACTTCATAAACTTCTACCAAGCTTTTTACTTAAGCCACATAATACTTCATTAAGACAGTATTAGGTATGGGAAGTTGAATAAAAACAGATAATTAACCATCTCTAGTACGTAGAAAGTACAATTAACTGTTTAATACTCTTCAAAATTCAAGAGTTTTAACTCTTAGAATAGTAGCCGAATCCTACTTTATGTTATCATTAAGTATCTTATTCTGCGGACTGTTGCCAGGCTCAACGATAAATTGTTATTTTGTAATATTTCGTCTGTGGTAAAAGTGGTAACTTCTACATATTACGGACTACTTGTGTCATCAAACTTAATAGAACTGTATGTTATGCGACAAATGATTAAAATCATGTCATATTCAAAGTAGAAATCTGTGGATGTATATAATGTAATGTATATAATTGATTAATTAAATGACATTACACACGAATGTTATTTGTATTAAAACTGTAATGAACAATACGCGTCATAATAAAACGCATGACGAACAATGACGACAGAAATAATTAACTAAAAATGTAATGAAACATTGACAACTCGACTGTATTATTGGATTACGCACGACGTAGGTAACATCGCTGTCACAACACAGACATTAAAAGAGTCGATTTTTTAATTCTTTACAAAAAGGCCGTGAATGAAACGAGCGCACTGCACAGTGGAATGTCAGGAAAATATTTTTGAAAAGGTCCGCTTTTTCAAAGCCACGTCGTCGTCGTATTGAATGCGTTTTAATGAAAAAACATGCGCCGATTCGCAACAGTCAAGGGAATTAAAACCTCCGAGCGCCGTTCGCGATCCCGAATGCATCGGTCGGAATTTTCATTTGTCCGAATATTATTTCCACGGGGAATTTTGCTGGCACTATTTTGTTTAAATTTATGACTGGCTCGTTTTGTGATTTTGCTTGATTAACGGTTTGGATTAGTTGCCTACTGCAGAATTGTTTGCATTGGAGCAAACTCTACATGCTGAGCTAAAATAAGAGCTGCAACTCTTTTCTTAAAAAAAATAGTATCGACAAACATTTAATCTGATAATGGCCTTCATAAGAAGCATCTTGCGTTAAATCGAAAACATATTCCAATTCATTTAAACTGTGAAATTCCAATTCATATGAAAACAATTGTTATCAAATTGGGTGCAGCCGTTTCAGAGAAATTGAGCTACAAACTTGCAGAAAAAAAGGGGAACCCTATACCCAGCAGCGTGTGAACCTGGGCTGATATGATGAATATAACAATTACAAAAGTTGTTATCACTATCAGCATACTTATAAAAATGAAGTAGATATCCCGTTACATATATCTATCTGTCTTCTAGACAAACTGCTGAACACATTTCCATACACTTTTCACCCTTATTTAGTGAATAGTGATAATCTGTTATTATGTAATTAACAAAATTATGACCATAAGAAACTAAATTGAATACTAAATAGTATGGATGTAGAATAAAATAATATAAAACACATGATACAGTGCACCACCTTATTTCTATTTTAATAAGATCACCGTCGAGATCCATCCAATATTAACGTACGGAAAATATCGAGGGAACTCATCAATAATTCTTGAAGCATTTCTATCGCTCTTTCTTTATATTATGAAAGTTTTTAGATACGATATATCGCACGGTAATGTGATTAACAGATTAGGCAGAGAAGTGCAGTTATTTATAACATTTTTCAATTGTCTGCTTAGTTTATCTCTAGAACTTTTATTTAGTGCGTATGCGCAAGTCTTAAGTAACAACTAGTATTAACTAAAATTGTGATAAAAATAAAATAGACTTAGATTTTTGGAATGAGTAATTTATTGTTTTTTATAATTTGAGTATCTTGTACAATAATAAAAAGTAATTATTAAAAACAACTTTATAAAAAGTATAAAAAAAATAAGCTGTGTTTCACACTCATGCGCCTCGAGAGGCGTTTAAATGTGTGAGTTGGTCCTGCGCCTGACCTATCTCTGATTAAATAGATTTTCCATATTTTTTATTTGTATTTAATATGTTATGAGGAC